AACAAAAGCAGTTACTGATGACAATGACTGTTCAGTAACATTTACAGTACTGTGCTACTACAAAAGGCTTGGTTACATGTACAGGACCCCTACAAAAGGCTCAGTAACATTACAGGACCCCTACAAAAGGCTCAGTAACATTACAGGACCCCTACAAAAGGCTCAGTAACATTACAGGACCCCTACAAAAGGCTGGGTAACATGTACAGGACCCCTACAAAAGGCTCAGTAACATTACAGGACCCCTACAAAAGGCTCAGTAACATGTACAGAGGGCACTACACAATTTTACGATAACACAGAAAAACAAATAAAAGGTTCGATAACATGTACAGGGGGCACTACGAAGGCTCAGTAACACATACAGGAACACTGCAAATACAAATTTTGTGCCCTCTGTAATGCTTTTTGCGCTACCGCTCACAGGATGGGTATGGGGTGCACAATAAACTAGCCGCCTCCGGCGGCAAAAAAAAAAAAATCAATAACATACATACAAATATAAAGATGGCCCCTGCTTCGTGAATCTGGCCCAGGAACTTTGCACATAATATGTAAAAATGGTGAGAATCGGTCAGAAACTGAATCTTTTTTACTAGGTCTCAAAGTTGAAAATGTTTTTCATAGAGAAGAATGCATATAAAGTTCTCGACAATAAATATAGTACTGTACTTCTAATTTATGACATATCTTGTAAGTTATAATCAAGACTGCTTGGTATTCATACTCGAATATGTGAAAGTGGTAGGCCTTGAAATGAAGTCAAGAAAAAATAATCCCAAAAAAACTATATATAGGGATACGTTAGAGATAACTGAAAAACAGACACTGGGCCCCTTAACTGTCTAACAGTAGGTTAGACATATATATGAATGAGATTGGGTAGATATAAATAGGAGCCGCCTCGTATGGGACAATCAGAACACTGAAAAGAATTACTGAACAAAAAATAGGCCTTCTGAAGTTACCTTCATTCTTATGTTATTATAACGAAAACATATACATTGCAATAACTTTATTATCCATTTATAAGTGATAAGGCTCTTATCTGGTCCTCATTCATCAATAGAGGCTAAATAGACAAAGAGAATAGTGTTTGAACTCTGCAAATAAATCGACCCCCAAAAAGAAGTCACAACTTCGGCCACTTGTGGCTGATTAACATGTTGACCAATTTCGTTCAAACTTCATATGCTTAGTGCAGGATATGCATTCTCAAAGATGTAAAAGCCACAACTAAATCTGTCTAGAAACAAAGGAGAAAGAAAAAAAAAGGGGGTTGTCAGCTTTTTGTACAAAGGGACATAAAATAATTGCCATTGGGCAATGTATTTATATGATACTGGCATATAATAGAATATAGCGTAATAACATACTAACTCATTATGTGTGAAATCCGGTCCTCTAAGTGGCATATCCACTTTGTGGACTTTACTGAGTTTGAGTTACTTTTGGCCCTAAAAAGAAAAAAAAAAGGTAAAGCCACATCACCCGGTGAGAATGGTATCACCGACTTATTGCGTCTGCTCCCTTTAGTACTAGCGTACTGAGGATTCCCTCAAGCAGGAAATCCCCTGCTTGAGTTATATAATATGAGCTATGTTACTGGGAACTTCCTATCTCTTGGACCAACAGTACAATCATTCCAATTCCCAAGCCAAATCAAGAGAATGCTTTCCGCCCAATTTCCCTTACTAGCTGCATTTGCAAAACATTCGAGAGAATGGTCCTCAACAGTCTCCTCCATAGAATAAGAACCATGCTATCCCCCCAGATATATGGCTTCATGCATGGAAGGAGTGTGCATCATTGCATCACCACCTTTCTTACCCTGCACACTGAAAAGTCATATACCACCTTCCTGGATCCCAAGTCTGCCTTTGATATTGCAAATCGACATGTTATCTTGAGTGAGCTTGCAAGAATGAATATTGGTGGTCGGCTTCTTTGTTGGATCAGGGGTTACTTATCCAAAAGGAAGTCATCTATATTTTTCCAGGAGCATAGGAGTGTAACAAGAGACTTCGAACTAGGTACCCGGCAGGGAGGTGTCCTCGGTCCTACCTTATTTAATATCTTAATAAACACGTTAAACTCTGAGCAAACACAACGTCCACATCATTAGCTATGTTGATGATATAACGATGCACACTACTGGGTATGCTAACACGCAGAACACTCTTAACTCTATTAGATTCATGTCAGGATCTAGTTTTAGTCATCTCAGCAGAGAAAACAAAGATACTAAATCGGCGCCCACCCAGACCGGGAGGAGCTGTTCGCAAGATGCAACTGTCTTATGGCTCCCAGCTTGAGTATGTAAACAGATTCAAATACCTTGGCCTTGAGGTGCCACTGTATGCAGGTTATCACTCAGGCTATGGTGTCAATGTCAGAATTGTCAAAATGATGTACCTTGCATAAATCAATCTTTAGTGGATTATGCTGCACCTCTCCTTGCTTTGATGCATTAAAGAAAGCTTGGAGGGCTTGAAAAAACTTACAGAACTAAGCCTTGAGGACAATCTGGGTGCCCTCGTACTACAAATACTTAACATGAGAAAGGAACTTAATATTCAGAGCACTGCTGATCGTGTTACTGAAACTGTCAAATTGGTATAAAAATACTTAGGCTAACTCATCCTAACCCTTGCACAAAAGCCCTCCAGAATTTCTTTATTGAAGGTCAGCATTGTTCCAGATGGATAACTAAAACTGGAACTCAACTTAACATGTATCAGGTTAATCATTTGTACCAAGAGAAACAACAACGGCACTTTCCTGCAATGTGTGAGATTACACCTTTTCCAATTTTAATCCCTCCCTTTCCACCCAAGAAGCAAATTAGAGATCAGCCCAAGCTTCATCTTGAGGCAAAGCTCAACGCCTTAAGCCATATTGATGCTCTGTCCACAGAGCATTCTCTCTCTCAAATCATATACACTGATGGTTCCCTACACCGCCCCACGGGTGCAGCTGGAAGTGCAGTTATCCTGACAATGGGCGATGGCTTATATTTTGAGTGGGGAGTCCGTATAAACAGCTGGGCCTCTACCCTTCAGACCGAACTGTTTGCTTTGCTCCTTGCAATGAAATGTGTACAAGTCTCCAAACTTGATACATTAATTGTAAGTGACTCTCATCCTTAAATGCAGACGAGAGAGATCAAATAATATACAAGTGGAAGATACTGGAGGGCCAAGTACCAAATTTAAACAGTAAAATAACAACATGATGGAGTGAACAATATGGAAGAAAATGCAGAAAAGAACCAGTGAAGAGCAGGGGTGCCATAGGCACAATCAGAGAACACTGTATAAACATCAGAGGTCCGTAGTTGTTCAACAAGCATAAGAAATATTGCCTGGACAACCGTGGACATCTTCAGGAGAAAACTAGATCATTTTCTCCAAAGAGTGCTGGACCAACCGTGCTGTGGTCGATATGTCGATCACGAACACATTCATAATGTGACGACTTATACTGGATTTTGTAACTTTCTTAACTAAATGAATTGTGGGGTTCAGTCTCCGAGCCCTGTGTGCTCCTCCAACCCTTTCCACTACCGCCCACAGTATGGGTATGAGGTGCATAATAAATGAACTAAACTAAAAAATAAATAACCTTACTACTACTAAATCTTCTTTGTGCATCAACAGGTGCTTGCATCTCTCTATCCCTAATTTCCAGAAAACAGGTGGTGTTATCAATACCAGTTACCAGTTATCATCAATACCAGTTGCCGCCCGTCGCTCATGCATATAAAAAAAATTTGTAAAAAATCCATTTCTTAACATATTGGGATGAAATTTTCACGACACTGATGCCAAATAACGGGAGACTTTAAATTTTTCATACAGTATTTGTTAAAAGTCTCCACATGCACCGGGCCCCTTAAAAGGGAAGGATTTCAAGACAACTAACTGCTACCCAATGGAACTTGCCATTCCTGTGCTACCGCTCTAGCACAAGAAATTTGGGGAGCACCGAGCTATATAAACTATCACACTACCAAGAACTGTCTCACATGTCGGAGATCGAGGCTGCCAGTGCCAAGGTGAAAAGTTACATCCACAGTAGTGTGGTAAATAATTTACAATGTTATATAATTAAAACAGGTAACATTGATGATTTGCAATATTTTTGGCAGGAACATTACAATTTCATAAACATCATATTTAGGTTTCTCTTACCCCTGCTTTTTAAGATTTTACCAAATTTTAATGAAATTTTAATGTCTTAGGCCATACAAATGTTAAAATCTTAAATATGTTTTGTATCAGTTCATGGTAACCCCATGCTTAAGTTCCAAGCTAAAAATAAAAAATATAAATCTGGAAACCTTGTTCCAAGAGTAAATATGACTAGACACCCCTTACTGATGTGCACTTTATAGTACAAAGGCTTTTTCCTTATTGTGTACACTCTATTGACACTGCCGTGCATTATTTTGTACAATATCTGAATTTTCAGGACTGCTGTAAACCTTGCCTTCCAAATGCCCCTTCAAGTCATTTGTCCCTTGATATAATCTTTGCTCGAATATCATTTTTCTCGTTCTGGCACCCTAAATGTTAAGGCCATTCTGATCACTGCAAAAGTGGTCAATAGTTTCCCTGGCCATCGTACCTTCTTTTGATAATTACTGCACTTTGAGAACCACCTGAAAAAAACAATATCAGTTAAATAAACTTGAATTGTACATACATGTACATATAGGCCTGGTCGACGACCGGGCCGCGGGGGACGCTAAGCCCCGGAAGCACCTCAAGGTACATATTCTTACCACATTCATATTCTTAATATTCTATTCTAACATTCTTACTTTAAGCTCTCTCCATTTTTTTTTTTTTGCGCTTCAGATCAAAATTTATTGCTGCAGAAAATCAAACCAATAAGACAAATATACTTATCCTTCAAGAGTACTGTACCCTCATCACACACAAGTGAAAATAATATTGTTGCCTATGGTACAACATGCAGGAAAGAATAATTTAAAGTCTTTACAACAAAATTTATTTTTTGTACATTATTGACTGTAAATGTAAAAACAATACAAAACTATTTATAACATTTAATTTAAGTGTTATGTTTTCAGAAGTACTACATAAACAGCATTAACATATGATTAACTTTTAAGAAATCACACATTACGTGCAGATAAAGTTGATTATGACACATTACGTGCAGATAAAGTTGATTATGACACATTACGTGCAGATAAAGTTGATTATGAAACATTACGTGCAGATAAAGTTGATTATGAAACATTACGTGCAGATAAGTTGATTAGGAAACATTACTACAAAGTTAGAATTAATATTAACCAAACACTTCTTGATACTGTATAAATTAATTCATCTTCTAAAATGTAATTACCTGTATTGTGAAAAATTGTGGCAGAGTTACATACAGCAGATACATTTTTTACAATACTATATATATATACAGTATTTAAGACTTTTCCCCCATTACTGCAATGTGATTACTGATCGCTTACTTCTCAAACTGCACATCACAGATTACAACACTGACCTGAGTTGACTTAGTATGCTAAGAATTACTTCACATATTCCTCACTAGACTTGTGTTAGTTTCTGTAAACAAAGTTGAATAAGATAAATACTAGTACTGTACACATTTTCAGTGGCAATTAATGTAAATCAGTTACTAATGACCTGGAGGGAACAATTAATAATAACTTTCTTAAACTGTGCCTCACTTTACAACAAAACTGATCTCACTCTGCTTTGGCTTGCTTTTGCCTCTTCTTGAGAGCCCTAATGTTGAAGGCTTTCAGCTGCCGGAACACAATGTATGTAAGGATCCACCCAGGAAAGTGCATCTTTGCTACTTCAATGAAGTAGAGCTGAGGATACATAATAAAACTTTAATACAGGGTAAAGCATAATAAAGTGCTGCAAGGAAAATTAATAAAATTATATACTATTCCCTGAGAAATGCAAGGTTAAGAGAATATGCACAGTAGAGTACATAACATTTTCCAGCACATCAATTTACTATAAATATTAATTAATGTTTGAACATGTGGTTGACATATCATTACTACCAAGACTTGCAAGAGAAAAATCACGTTAAAGCCTCCAATTACTACTGGGTTATACGCCAACAGTTATCAATGCATTACTTTTGTTATGATATGCACATAACTGTAGGTTGATATGTGAACATTTGGGAAGATGAGTAGCTATAGACAAACCATTATTATGGACAAAAACATTATACTTTTTTAACTGTAGCCAAATTAAAATTGAAACACCAACTGTACAATGGGCACCATAACCAATATATTTGCATGAAATATAACAATGTAATGATGCATATGTGGTAAACGAGTGGCAACAAACTGAACAGCTATTTCCAGCTTGGGTATGATCATGTCGCCACCTATTTGAGCACTACACACAACTAATGGTGCTTAACCTCTAAAACCAAGAACTGTAATGGTAATATCCACTAAGCAAAGGCTATTTTTAATTAATTTTCACATGCACATTAAATTAATCTCTCTCTATATAAAATACCAGTAATTTGTGTTGAAAGCATATTCTATAAATTCAAGAGAAAAAAAAAAGATTACTAGAATTGTTTCACATACCTGTATCTTGTGCATGAAATAACCAGCAGTACATTTTTCAATACCAACAGTTCTTAAAGTAGACTTTACATATGCTGTAGGTGAGGGAGCCATGAGGGTGGGTCGTCTGATCTTGGACATGTTGGAAACCACAAAACCCGGCATTACACACTGCACAGTAATGCCCTTACTACCATACTCTGTGCCAAGGCTCTCGCTGAAGCTCTGCACATATGCCTACAGATTAAACACAAATTAGTATGTATAATTAACCAAAATACACACAACTAGCACACTATTTCAGTTATATTTTCAATTTACACTTGCATAAAAACATTATAGCATATTAAACTTCATCCCACTTTATATTACTTCAACAGCAACACTAACCCTTATTTGTGCTTCTATTCCTTTCCATCCAGTTTCCTACATTTAAGCATAATTGAGTGGGAGAAGTTTTAACATCAACAAAAATTTAAATACAGTACTTAGGAACCCAGAAAATCAAACAAGAGGCTTTTGAGGTCACAATTCATCTATTACTGTAAAAAAGCATCCCCCCCCCCCCGGTGGCAAATGTTATTTCCTAATTACTTATGCCTTCAAAGTATAGAAAATGGACATTATTCCCACAAACTTTACTTATTTACAAGAAAATTCCATGATCAGTGCCGAGTAAACTTTCATGTAATACAAAGCGTAGTATAAATACAATGTAAATATAAATAATATTGTATTTATACTATATTATAATAGTATAAAGAACTGTAATGGTAATATCCACTAAACAAAGACAATTTTGAATTAATTTTTACATGCACACTAAAGTAATATCTACATACAGTATAGTATATTAAACACTACAATACCAGTAACTTGTGAATATTACAGTTTATACTATAGTATAAATATAAAACATGTGGCCTTAAGTCCGCCTGTTTAGTTGAAGCTGCCTTAGTAGATACATATCTGCACTTTTCACAGATAGCATCAAGAGGTCTGCAAGCTTCCAGCATATGCATGTTGTTGTCTACAACCAATTTTTCAAGACAAGTGAAAAAGTGTTCCATGGAAGCATCAGCTAAAATGAGCAAGGCCCATAAGGCATATTTAAGCATGCCTGTCAGGGATCAAGACAAACCTTGGGGATCTCATTTCACCTGCGAGCACTGTAAAAACCTCCGACTGTTTCGAACAGAGGCAATCAGAATCACCATACGATTCTAATTGTTATCACTATATGATACCTGGTTGTTAAACAAGGTATATGCTTATACCAGGCTGTTAAAACGATTTTGCTCGTCGCATTCCAGGGAAAACTAGGATTAAGGACCTGCCCGAAATGCTATGCTTGCTAGTGGCTTTACAAGAATGTGAGAGCTCTTATTTATTTATTTTATATATATATATATATATATATATATATATATATATATATATATATATATATATATATATATATATATATATATATATATATATATATATATATATATATATATATATATATATATATATATATATATATATATATATATATATATATATATATATATATATATATATATATATATATATATATATATATATATATATATATATATATATATATATATATATATATATATATATATATATATATATATATATATATATATATATATATATATATATATATATATATATATATATATATATATATATATATATATATATATATATATATATATATATATATATATATATATATATATATATATATATATATATATATATATATATATATATATATATATATATATATATATATATATATATATATATATATAATATATATATATATATATATATATATATATATATATAAGGGGGTACCACCACTGGTGTAATTATAGGGACCCACAGCCTCAGAGAAGGGAACACAGAGCACTCAGGGAAAAACTTGACATTTAACTCTGAATGCGAAAGAGTGTTCACTTCTCCTACCACCCCCTTTTTTTTTTATTATGATGTACACTTTATTATGCAAGGTTATACAGTTACATATCTGATTTCATACAAAAAATGAACATTAAGAGGACACAAGAAAAAGTTCGCTTCCTAGAGGCTGTAGATTTCCTCGAACTCCGAACTATATATATATATATATAAAATATAATAAGAAATTAAATAGCAACAAGCGAGTGGCACCTCACTGACCAGGAGCCTCAGTTATGCTGCTCTATAGTAAGAACAAGTGCCATCTCTTCCCCTGGCTTAGTGCCCCACAAAGAGTATTACAACTGCACCAAAATCACAGTGGATGCCTTGACATATGAGAAGTACAGGTGGGAGGTCATCTGAGACTTCAAAATGGTGGCATTCCCAATGGGTCTCCAAGTCAGTTTTACAAAGTTTCTCTGTTATCTTTGCCTTTAGGATAGCAGGAATGCACCTAGATGCACTACCACAGGCTGGACTGGCCACTACAGACCAAGTTATGTGTATTCACCTAGTTGTGCTTGCAGGGGGTCGAGCTCTGCTCTTTCGGCCCGCCTCTCAACTGTCAATCAACTGTTACTAAATACTATCCCCCCCCCCAGGAAGCAGCCCGTGACAGTTGACTAACTCCCAGTTACTTATTTACTGCTAGATAACAGGGGCATCAGGGTGAAAGAAACTCTGACCATTGTTTCTCGCTGGCGCCCGGAATCGAACCCAGGACCACAGAATCACGCGTCCAGCGTGCTGTCTGCTCAGCCACCAACCTCCCCTCTGTGGGAAGGAGCAACATCAGGTGGGAGTTACTGATGGACACCCCCACCCCAGAAAATGTTTATATCGTCATTACATATCAATAGGGCCTTATGGAAAAAAATTGCCATCTCTAGACGAGTTGGCAGCATTCAAGTACCTTCAAGACTTCTTCCCTAAGCTGTCTGAGGCAAAGGTGTTTTAAGCAGACTACATACAAGATGATCTTGGAGTGCAAGGAATTCCCCATGAAGCTCACTAGGAAGGAAAAATTGGCCTGAAACAGTCGATTCAGGGCTTCCTGGGCAATCTCGAGACTGAAAACTATATGGAGTTGGTCGAGAGACTGGTAAAGAATCATGACACAGTGGGCTGAAGGATGTTCAAAGTTTATATCCTTGAAGCCCCTCTTGATAAATTCAAGAATATGGAAGTGTACTCTGAGAAGCAAGGTGAGCAAATTTATAATGCATGCATGTGTGGAAAAACCAGGCTGCTCATCACTGCAGTTGAGCTAGAATAGCTGGGGAGTCACCAAACAGAGCAAAAGGACACCGCACTACTGCACTTTGAGGTTTCATGTCCATATTTCCAGCACTTATTGCTAAGGCATGGAGAGTGGGGATGAACTCCTGAAAGGAGCATCTGGCATCGGTAAGAATTACCGAAGATACGAGGTTCAGATTATCAAAAGTGATCCCAACTGCTCTAGGGGATTGACGATGACTGCAATAGGGTAAGGTGAATGTATCAATATGGAGGATGGAATAACCCTGGGCCTCAAGGATGTAGTTACTATCCTCATGGCAGTCCTTAAATTCTCATTCCCCAGTCACAACATGGGGGAGGGAGAATGACTGCTGACTTTTCTATAAATAGAAAATGACTGTAGATCAGTTTTACATTTGTCTGCTATACCTTTCTCAAAGTTCCTTTCTACCTCTCTCCTCACTGCTGTGTAACTGTTGCTTGCTTGTAGTGTTGGTATGTTTGTGGGTTAGGCCTCTTCCTATATTGAACCCATTTTCTTGCCTCTCTCTCTGGCCCTCTCACAATTTCTGTTGTGCCAATCCTGTTTTCTGGTCCTGCATCTCTGTTTTGGTATGAATGTTTGTGTACCTTCATCGTACATTTCTCAAAATTTGGCATATATCTCATTTACTTCCTTGCCTAGCAACAAGTCTGTCCAATTAAAATCATTAAAAAAAATTCTTAGTTCCCCATTCTTCAATGATGTTCAAGAACTTGACGGTGATCAGATCTCCATCACTTCCTTGATCGTCTCTCTCTCTTTTACAAGAGATCAAATAAGGAAATAAGAGGAAATAACAAAAATAACGTCTCTTATTTCCTCTTTGTACTTTTCTAGTTCCTTATTAACCTCATCTATGCGAGTTGTCAATGAAGTTTCTCTTACCATATCCTTGCCTAACTCCTCCTGCATCCTTACCCTATCAATCAAGCTGGTAATTTCCTTACCTTGCTGGAAAATACTTCCTTTTAATCTTGAGACCTTCATTTTATTGTTCTAATTACCTTTTCTTCATAATTCTGTAGCAGGTGCTCAATAATCACTAACCTGCCCAGTAAACTACCTTTCATTATATCTTGTGCTGAGAATCATTGAAAACATTCATCTGTTGGTGTGTTGTCCTCCCCTGTGGTGGCGGCCATCTTTGTTGTTGACATTTTTGTTTTGGAATATCAAATTTTCCAACCCAGATTTTTCACTCACTCACACTTATTTCTTGTCTCTTAGTTACTTTTCAAATTCCTTATAGCTTCATGTATCCTGGGACACCACTTACAGTCCTCACCCTCTTCCTCAATACGCAGGCAATTCGATTTATCCTGGAGCCTGCTGCAGTGTGACTCCTGCTTCCTGGTGCTCCTCCCCCGTGCGAAAGACTGAGTGCTGACAAGTGCAACAAAGGGCGTGTTGTCCAAAGCAGCACTCCCCCATTTTTTAATGAGAGTCCAACTTTATCGTTGGACACCACCAGACTGGTGCTATAACCTCTTCCTCTCACCCCAGCCTTAACCCCCCAAACCTACCTCCAAGGGCAGCACCTCACAGGTGACCCCCTCCAGCAGGTGGTCTGATGACCTGAACAGGAATCCTAAATATGTTTAATTTCAAAGGTATGATGCCCGGAGAAGGGTAGGAGGGGACTAAGGAAACTCGCACAAGTCTCGGAGTCATATGTGAGCCTCCTTACTATGACAAGGCGAAACCCTTGAGGGAAAGCAGCAGCAAAAGTTACCGTCAAAATGGCAGGCACCGCCCCACCAAGAAACAAAGCCTCTGTATTTGCTATGAGGGATGCTACTATTAAGGATACTAAAGGTTGTCCTAACGAAATATACACAACGTCTTATATGTTCAGTATTCAAATTCTGCTCCTGCACAAACCTTGGATGCTCCATATACAGCAAGCAATGGGGCTGGAATGGTAGATGATACAGATGACAAGTTCATGATGAGGCCTCTCTTCCTTTTTGCCATGCCAGGTAGTATGATGCGAGTCATGTGAGTTAATGACTTTATATTACAGTTGATTAACTGGTCACACATCCTGTAGAAACACATTTACATATATTTAATAACCATACCCGAGATAAATATTTGCAATGTTAACAAATGAGCGAGAGATGCAAAATGAACCTGTGTTACATTTAAATTGTAAAAATCATTTATGGAAAACAAATACTGGTACTCACTTTTGACACTCAGAAATCTCTGTAAAATATTCTGGATATTCATAGCTCATGCCAACATTGTTCACCAGGACGCCAACATCCATTTTCCCAAGTTCAGACTCCAATCGATTGTAAATATCTTCTTTGGTGAAGTCAACATCAACAATCTTTGTTTCAGTACCATACTTGCTGTCTGTGGTCATGACATTAAACATGGTAATCAATATACCCGGCATCACAAACTTCAAGCAGCTGTACATGCACATTGCACTATCATAACTTTCACGCTCTCTGGGAAATTACAAAAACTTTTTAGACATCTAAATTATTCTAATGACTTCATTATGTAACTAAACCAATGTTTTACAGATAACAGATCTCTTGTACTGTAACTTCACAAAAAAAAATTCTTAATCAGTTAAAGGAAATATACAACTATAACTTTCCCCTTTGCTTTCACTGCTCAACAGTGAAACACTAAACATGCACAAATTTAACACACATTGTAAGTAAATCTCAAAAAATACATACAGAAGACCCAACTACATACCTGTTAACCTATAGCTATAAGGGAATGTCTGTCCCAAGGTTGGAGGCCATACACACAGGGTTAGGTCTCACCTAACTTTGTAGGGGTAATGGTTTAAGGTATGGGATGGACACAGGCTAGTTGGAGTTGGCCTAAATTAAATTCTTTAAGAAATATTTGCATTTATAGCTACCCCATGCAATTTTCAAAACCAAGTGTGAAATTTTTGTGTAATGAAAAATGGAGGAGAAAGTCAATTGATAAGAAAAGAGTGTGATGAAATGCAAGAAAATATAGGAACCGAGTTGAAGTAATGGAAAAAGGTTGAAGTACCAGCGCTGTATATGAATATTTGGACTAACTGATCAACAATTATTTTTTTTTTACGTCAAGTAGACAAATCCCCCCCCCCCTCTTTAAAAAGGGACAATTCAACTTCATTTAAAGAAAATGCAAATACAGTAAATACTACTCCCAGCACTTTGATTTACATAAAAATGCAACCCCCTGCAGTGCACACCTGTTTTTGGCAGAAACTTCATTGTGCAAATGTTAAGGACATTTTTGTTTTTTTTTATAAATGTTCACGTAAAGTTAATGTCAATGTTTCCAAACTTAATCATTTTCATTTTAAAACACAATGATGAAAACAATAAAAAAAACATTAAAATATAGCTTAATTAAAAAAATAGCACAACTCCCAGAACAAGATTTCTTGGCCGGCGCAGCACAGTGGTTAAATGAGTGGGATGCTCCCGGACGCAGGTTCGAATCCTTGTCACGGCCCTTGTGGATTTGTTCATTTTACAGTGGTTAAATATCACACAAAGTCCAACACACAAGAATAAAGATCAAGGTTCAACCATCTAGTTAAGTGGTATTATTATACACCTTCAGAAGAGCAGAAAAGCATTACAAAAAGCATTACATCCCAAAGGGGTTTAAGTGGATGCACCTTCTTACTTTACTATAGACAACAGTTACCTCTGACATAAAACTTAATTCAGTCTTCAAGAGTAATCTGAAAAAATACTACATTGGTAAAAAATGCCAAATATTTAGACATTGGGAAAATATAGCCATGTTATCACACTGCAACACATGACACCAAGGCCACATGTTATATTATGCATGTTAGCTTTAAGCCTCTTATTGGCCTTCCTGTAACCTGAAGGTTACAGGAAGGCATCAAGCCTACCGAGGAAAAATTGGTTTGATATATTACTCGAGATAAAATGATTAAAAGGTCAGTTGTAAAGCACAAAACAAGAACTATTATTTAAAGGGAAAAGGTGCGCAAGAAAAACCTGATAAACATTCAAGTATCCCTATAGTATAGGGAGCCGGTGGCTGAGTGGACAGAACACTGGACCCGTGATCCTGTGGTCCCGGGTTCGATCCCGGGCGCCGGCGAGAAACAATGGGCCGAGTTTCTTTCACCCTGATGCCCCTGTTACCTAGCAGTAAATAGGTACCTGGGAGTTAGTCAGCTGTCACGGGCTGCTTCCTGGGGGTGGAGGCCTGGTTGAGGACCGGGCCACGGGGACACTACAGCCCCGAAATCATCTCAAGATAGCCTCAAGAAGATGATCCTTCAGGATGACCCTTCACATGCATGTATATCAAAACTAACACTTGATAAAAGAAATCTTACTGATCTCCGCTGCCACATTCTGAAGCTTGAAAGGATTCCGACTGACTAGGGCAACCTTAAATCCAAGACGGGCAAACTGGAAAGCAAAATAAAGCAAACAATAAAAATACACCAATTTTATTTTTACATATATACTGTACCATGTTTTGCAAAATAATGCAAAGCAATAGAACAATCATAATCCAAAATAAGCTAAACCTAACATAGGTTTGTGTATTTCATATAGGTACAGTACATTTAAAGTTATCAAGAATACATTTAACAATATTGTACTGGTTATACTGTACAGTACTGTAAATAAACAACTACAGTAATGTACACTAAAACACTCCTTATTAAAAAAAAATTAATAAAATCTGTGTTCCAAAAACATGTCTTTCATTAAGTTGAAGCCCATGATACCTTGAACAACATTTTTAATGTACAGTACACTTTAACCTCGGTGTACGAATTTAATCCATTCCGAAAAAAAAAATGGCTTTGAATGTAATGAAACGCCAGTTTCTGGGAGAGCTCCTGAGGCTCCCTGCAGCTATCCAAACCGACATGTGCCATATTATTTAGGTGTCATCAGTTTTGGTTGGCAGTTCTGTACCTACCGGAGACCACGAGCCAGAACCTGGTCCCCTCAAAGAGGCGCAGGGAGCAATGGCTATTATGAAAACACTAGCTTTAGAGAATGTCATGTCTGCCATCGACCAGGAAGGGCACCCCAGAAAGAAAGGCGAACCAATACAAACCCCCAACTGGTAAAAATTGCAGCCTATGTCTGAACAGAGCCAAAGAACTCCCCCAAAAAGAAAAACAAGCAAATCGTCATCCAACTAGCACGCCCACTCTGGCGAGCCATCAGCCGACTTCCCCAGTTCGTAGAAAGATGAAAACCGCTGACCAGGTTGTCAGGGAGCATCCGGGGCTCGCCCAAAAAATAACATTTCACTACATTCAACGCTGGTTCTCTGTGGAGAACCCTGTCGGCTCCCTGAAGATAACTACCCACATATAAGTAAAGGAGGGATTTACCTGGGAGGCGGCAGCACCACAGGTCTCAAGAAGACAAGACTCTAGGCCACAACAGAAGTGCCAAGGCCAGAGGGGGCATGGCACATTCACAAGATATCTAGCGGCTAGGACCCTGTTCGATTTGCAAAACCCGTGCCAGAATGCCAATCCCAGACATGTTCCCAAATACAGCCGCGAGAGCAGCATATTTCCTCATCATGGGCACAAAAGTAGACCGCAGGTTGGCTAAACTTGATAACCCTGCGGACAACCTGAGAGACATGAGCCCTGGAACAGGAAAACTGGATCAACCCTGAGTGCGTTTACAGTTACTGAAGCATGGTAGTGATGTAAACCCGCCACTGGACACAAAACACGATGCACCAACAACCCTCGGACCCCTCCGGAAGTTAGTTGTCTCATTCTTCGCCAGAAAAGGAGGGGGCTGCAAATGAACAAAACACCCAGGACCTCAGCTCTCCAACCTGACCCCCAGAGACCAAAGCCAACAAAACAAGGCCTTCAGAAAACAAGCCTGAACCAAAGGGGGTCACAACAAACAGAGGAGGAAAGAAAAGAGCACCTGGTCCAAAGACCAAGACAGCTCAAGTGGAGCATGAGCAGGCCGGAGGTGGAAAAATGCATGGGAGAGCTTGCGGAATACGGCACAAGTGACATCCACCCCAAACGCAAGCTGGAGCGGCTCCGCCAATATCACATATGAAGCGACAGTATTTGGCATGAGATGCTGGTCCAAACAGCCAAGAAAGGACAAAACCACCTTCACATACACCAACAACACCCTCTGAAGTGAAAGGAAACGGTGGAAAGACTGCCAGGAGATTTCATACTTTCGCTGAGATGAAGATCGCAGGTGGGACACCATCAGAGAAGCCACCTGATCACCATATGAGTGGCGATACACCCGCATCAAAAAACCAGCAAGGTACCTCACTGGCCTGACTTGCAGAAGGACTCCCGGGTTCGGACACTGCGCAAGCAGCACCAGATATCAAGGCTGGGCTGGCCACCATGGGGCCAGAAGCACCCTTCCCTGATTTTTTTTAGCACTTTGGCGTACCCCACGCGCCACCCCTCAACTGTGCGATTTGGGTCCCAGGGTGTCACGGGAGCGCGTGTAAATTCTGAAAAGTGTATCCTCTCTTCAACTTTGTCACCTCAATTCTCGTCCTACCAGATTAAATTTGGTATCATTGTGTTCGCAATAAAATTCTCTACAGCACTAAATGCATATAAACTCCAAAAGCTCGGCTAATTACCCACAGCAAACGGAGAAAGTGCGAACGAGTTACCCAGGAGCGCGCAAACGCTATAAAATGTTTTCACTATTTTCATTCTGGTCACCTCAATTTTCGTCCTAGGTCTTTCATTTTGGTCTCAACGGGTTTGCAATAGAATTCTCTAGAGGAACAGTAGCATATAAAATAAAAAAAACCTGGTCACGCTCCAACCGCCGACGAGTTGAAGACGGGCCACGCGTTAGCCGCGAGTGAGCCCTCGGACCCCTTCCAGCTACACTCCCAATTCCCGCCCTTTTCAAGCCCTTCTTTCGCAATTTTCTTCCTGGAAGGGCCTTGTTCATGATCACTATCCATCGTGGAGTAAGCGTAGATAGTTTCTAAAGCCGCAGTAAGAAATATAGCCACGGAAAATAGCCGAAATGTTCACACGTTTGAGATGCGAGGGGAGGCGACATTGGTCACAACAGTGGAGCGAAAACAATGGGCCGACGGCATGTGTCAAGCCACCTGCGGGCCACGAGGCGCAACAAAGAAAAAGGGAAGACATCGGCGCACATTTTAAAACCAGTCCCCAAAAAATCGGATAAAAACCTGATTTTTGGCGATTATTTAAAGTGGATGACGCAATGCTGCGTCATCCTCGGCATTACCGACAGTAAACAGATGACGCAATGCTGCGTCATGCCCAGGCAAAAGTGTTAATTTCTTTATCCTTTACACACGGCTGTTTATGATATACCAAGGATTAATTAAGGCAACACTTAAAACTTTGAAAAACCTCTTTTACAAAATACAGTACATCTTATCTGTGCACCTATATTTAATATTTAAATTTCTTAACACTTTAGTGCGCGCGGCACTTGCTGAAAATAAAGCGGATTGTGCGCGCGGCGTTCTGGGCGCTCAAGCGTAAACACAAAAAATTGTATAATCTTTTCACGCTCCTAACATCAATTCTCGAGCTACGTTTTTCATTTTGGTATCAATGCGTTGGCAATAAAATTCTCTACAAGATCATATGCATAAAATGTCACCCAAGCATTTGGTATCCCACCACGAAGTAAATAAACACGAAGATGACTCGCCGTTACACCCAAACAGGAAGTAAATGTTCATACTCTTTCGTTTGTTGCCAGCCTCACAGTCATCCTACAGCGCTCATTTTGATATCACTGAACTCGCAATAAAATTCCCCACCCAGACATATGCCTATCAATGTCTAATTATGGTATCGGGTGACCCGCACGAGTGTGGGAACTGGGCGAAGCGTTAGCCGTGATTTCAGCAGCGACGACATTGGTGTGATGCAGCGCTTTGAATGTTTATACTTATTTCACTGTCCTGACATTATTTCTGGAGCTACGTATTTCATTTTTATAGCAATGTGTTCGCAATAGAAAGTTCTATAAGAACATGGGTAGAGTTGGCCAACACAGCGTCAAATAAATTTGTGGCGAATAAAATCTTACGCGTGTTTGTACCCGTGAGCATCAAAAGTTTTTACTTTGCTCATGTTTTTCAAGTTTATACTTGTTTCACACCGTTTTTTTCTTTTGTATAGTGTTCGGAATAAAATTCCCTATACAGACATATGCACATCAAATACAATTCCTTGGAATTCACAGCTGTAGAGATGACGGAAAACACACAACCGGAACCCGCTCTTGACACTCCAACTCACACCCGCAACACCCACAAAAAAAGTTTCTCTTGTTTCGTGTATACTTTAGTTTTCGTGCTACAGTTCTCATTTAGGTATCAAAATATTCCTAAGAAAATAGACTACAATACTGAAACAATCTAAGACAATTATGTGTACTTACCAAAGCAAAGACGATTGTAGTAAAATAAGTTGAGCATTTTATCTCCACTCCACCTCCTTCAGGTACTGATTCCTGAAGTTGCTCAACAGATGTTCCTAGGTGGAGTGAAGCTGGTGCGGGTGGTTATTTCTTGTCCACCCAATACACCCTTTTCCTGTGATAAGTGGTGTAACAAGGTATGATGCAAAGTGGAACATCGCATGTCTTGCACGCTATACCAGTTTCCTTCCTGATACCCGACTTTGCACACACTTCACACCTGCGACGTTTGGGGATTTTTACCAGCTCATGTTTCAATTTATAGTTCAGGTGAGTCTCTGCTATAACAATACGTCGCTGTTGTCTCTGGGTTGGCAATAAACTACTGTCTGAATCGTCGCTCTCACTATTGTTTTCAAACACTAATGTGGAATATGAATTATCTTCATCAGATTCAGCTTCAGCACTAGGTGTAGACGTGAAGAGAGGGCGCCTCACACCCGACGGGCCAGGTGTTGACGGGTCAGCAGCAGGATACACAGGACCAGTGTCATCATTTATGTCTGGAGCATGAACTAGATGTGGAGATGGTGTAGTTGTTGCAGGCCACTCTGCCTTGTCAAATTGCAATAAAGACCAAATAGCAACTTCATGGAACTGGAGCAGAGTTAGTTTCCTTCGATCATCTGTGTTGGCCTTGTACAATGCATAAGCGTTTTGCAATGCCATTTGCAAGAAATAAAATGTTATTTTCTTGGTCCACTTGTGACATTTCCTGGCGAAATGGTAATACTTTACCATTTGATCAAAGTGGTCAACACCCTTCATTTGCCTGTGGTTTGTTCACCACAACCTGCTGTAGTCTTTACTGTTCCATCTGCCCTGCGAACTCGTTTTCTTTTCTGAACTTTCTTTGTGTAGGTTGGTAATCATAGAGACAACTCGCTTGTCGCCCGCAACTCGCCCCCTCCTCCTCAGTTTGGCTTTCAGTCTCATCCTCTGTTGAGTCATCCCCAAGGGGTCTACGGCCTCCAATTTCAAATTCTTCTTCTACATCCTCACCTTCTGCATCACTTCGTTCATTTTCAGCTTGATCAAAGGCATCCAAGACATTGGGAATCTTGTTGGGAGTGAGCCTCATACCAGCAAACCTCCTATAGATGGCGGTAATCCTGTCTTTTTCACTCGATTCTGAGGCTCCTGTAGCCGAAACACCGCTTGGGCCTGGTGCTGGATCCATTATTGATGAATTTAGTGGGTTATAAACACACACAAACGGGTAATAATCCTTGAAAACGTGCGAGTTTGGCGGCCGAGGGGAGAGAGATCTGATCACGTGACGGATCACTGGGTCACGGCCTGTCACGTGACCCAGTAGGCCGACATGACTTGCAGCCTACCCGAGAGAACGGGAATTTCATGGCGCGGAGTTTGAAACAAACCCCAAGTAAATCGGATTTAAACTGGATTTTTTACAAATATTTTAAACCGCACCGTAAATTTACGTCGTGATCCGACAAGCGGTTAGGGAAAACTCCCGTAATTCCAAGTCGAAAATCCAGGAAAGTGTTAAATTACTGGAGTGTTGACATTTTTTTTAAATGCACAAAGATCAAATTTTTGCTACTTCATCTGATAATATAACCCCTGATGAAGTGATGCAACCTGTTAGACTCGTTTTGTCTTAATATTGATCAGAATTTAACAATGAAAACATTACTGAATGAGGCAGCCACACAACTTGAACTCAACTACTGACATCCGGTCATCAGATAAGCTGCAACACTTCAAGAAGTTTACAAGATGTGTAAAATTCTGGACTAAAATCAGCTAATTGTTTTTAGACTACTGTACATGCAAGTCATCACTCTAGCATATGAATGCAATCAAAACAGCAGGATCATTTCTCAACACCTCCAGTGTTTAGGCATTTCTCAGAGGACAAACATGTATCGATAACCATTTATATGGCATCATATTTAACCTGACAACACAATATTCTTAATATGTACCAATTGTGCAAGACGAGTTTAAAGCAATCTTAAAAAAAAAGTTTAGCTAACTCGGAAGTAAATATTTTTTCTTTCCTATGTACAAGTTGAGAAAAAATTAAATAGTTACATGGCCCTTCTATCAATTTTAGATACAAAATCTGGCCCCAGTCCTAAAATAATTGAACAACCATGTTCCATATGTGAATATTTCCCCATTTAGAAAAATAAAAACTATACTCTGATATAATCTAAAATAGCAACAAAACTTCATAGGGTATTATTTGCAGCCGAGACTTCAATAATTAGCAACATCAGGGCAGGTGTGAAAACAAACCTAGAGTACTAATCCTTACTGTAAAACAAACCTAGAGCACTAATCCTTACTGTAAAACAAACCTAGAGTACTAATCCTTACTGTATTGGTTTTTCAAAATACTTGTCAACACCCCCTTTTCACTCCCCCCCCCTGCCATGCTACACTTTTTAAAACTTTTCTGAAATTTTCCACCAGGGAGACACATGACCCATTAATACTACTATGGGTTTTCCTTGCACCACCTTGGTTGTTGACATTTCCAAGTGGACACAAAGACAACCTCCAGATATGGCACGGACATTACTGATTTCGTAATAAACATACACCTGTACAGTACATTATTTCTTTGAAAATTATAATTATTCCATTCAGAAAATACATGTTAACTTGTATTACTAAACTTACTTCAAATGCGTAAGCTTTGCCAATACCATCTGTCGCTCCAGTAATAACTGAAACAAAAAACAAAATTAAGTACAGTACCACTAAAATTAAACAACAATGGAAAATACTGTATTGTTTAACATAGTACAGTATTGACCACAAATCCAAATGATGATTCACAAAATCAACAAACGTGGTAAGAAATGCAAATGACCTGATAAAACTTTAGTGCACATTAAGAAAGTTCAGGAACATTATGCAAAATATTCCCATTTCTTTTTTTAAATATGAGAAAATTACATAATCAAAACTTTACAAATTTTAAGCCTTTTTTTTAAATTTAAGCCTTAAAAGCTTAAATGTTAAAAATACTATCACCTGCACATACTCAAGGAAATTACACCAACAGGATATATCATCAAGACTATCAATAGGAGCCGTGTGGGGACTCAACCAGGACATACAGGCGATTTCTTATTATCACCCGTATATCCACTTATTTCTACATTACCTGGGTGGTATTTCAAATATCATAATATATTTCAATATCTAATCACTTGAGATCATTTAATCCATATCCTTTCATAGTATTCAACATGCAGCTTCTATTGAACCATAAATTTTGTACAATGTACCCTTATACTGCCCGAAACGCTTTGCATAATAGTGGCTTTAGGCACTGTATGTACTAGCTCTATCTATAAATCTATCCATTTTTGTAAAACCTCTTGTATGTATGTATGTACTTTACCTGAATAAACATTTATTTATTTATTTATTTATACTGTTAGTAGGATGAAAAGCAATTTGAAAAGAAACATAACATGTTCAATGACTATCTTAACAGTTATATAAAGTGTAGTATTTTTTACATTTTACAACACAAATTTATTAACAAATAATGTACGAGATGAATTTTAATAAATTTTGAGCCAACAAATCAGATGCTCCAAGAGATATGAGGATTGTTTAGCATACTTGGGCACTGCAGCGAGAAGTAGGACATGCGAGGAGAAGGAAATAGTTGTTCCCCCTCTGGATTAAATAAAAATACAGTAATGTCAATCTAAAAAAAGAACCATTGAATGTAATGAAACAATTTTCTGGGCGAGCCCCCGGAGCTATCCGAACTGATATAGTGCTATATTAGTTAGGGGTCATCAGTCACAGGAGTTCTTGTGCCTACCACGGACCATAAGCCAGAACCTGGCCCCCTCGGGGAGGTGCAGGGAGCAATGGCCTACGAGCACTTTACATTTAAAGTATGTCATAACTGCGACCAGGGAAGAACCCAGAAAGGTAGATGAATCAAAACAGACCACTGTCTTGTTAACCCACTGAGAACACCGAGGACAACCCGAGATATAAGCCCCGGAACAGGGAACTAAGGAAACAGGATCCACTCAAAGAACGTCCACTGTCACAGAATGCAGGTAGCGGCTTAACGCTGCCACTGTCCACAACAAGTAAAGCACCCCCGCCCTAACCAGCTAAGCATCCACAACCAACGGACCCCTTTGAAAGCCAGCTGTCGCATTCTTCGCCAGAAAAGAAGAAGGCTGCAAATGAACAAAACAACTGCCTGAACCAAATGAACAAAACCTTCCGGCGTCGGAGGAGAGCATGCAGCTCCCCAACCCGACCCCCCAGTGGTCAAGGCAAGCAAAAACAAAGCCTTCCAAAAGCAATCCTGAACCAAAGGGGCCACATCAAAATGATGAGGAGAAAAAAAAAACACAGTTCAAAGACCAAGTAGGCTCAGGCGGCGCATGAGGTGGTCGAGGGGTGAAAAAATTAACATGAAAGTGGGTCGCTGGGAGACCCGCAAAAGGGCTGACGCAAACCCTGAGAAGGCACACAAAGCGAACGCCATGCTGACCAGACAATGAAGGCTTCGGGGAACCCGCTAACACAAACTTGAACCAGAGGCCTACCCAAATCAACCGAGGCCCAAGCTCTGGCACAACCTGATTGAGAGAACCGGGAACGACCCCTTCCCCCTGGAGCACCAACAAGTTGCAAATATGAGAGCAATCGGCCAAAGTGGGCAACGACATTCTCCGAGAACAACAGTGCACAGCACGGCGAAGACAACTGCAAAGCCAGGGCTCAAACCGAATCCAGTGACAGAGCCAGCACAGTCAGCCGACACACGAGGCGAGAGGAGAAAAACATGGAAACCACCTCTTGGAGGATCGCCGCAAACAGCTCAGAAAGGCAGACAAATGCCCCAACAGCCGAAACTAAAACACCAGCCAAAGGCCAACCGCACTCAATGCCCCCCAGAAGACCGAAGAAGCAACAGACTGAGGCCAAATGACTGAATCCGCAGGTCCACAGCCGCCAAGGCAGCTGAAAGAGAGGACTTGGAGAGAGGAAAGAGAGAGGCAACGTTGTAGTAAAGCAGGCTACGTCAGCCATAGTGCGCCCCACCCAGGATAAGATAGAAACCACAAGACCCCAGATGTACCCCAAGGGAGAAGGCTACTTCAAGCGATGAAGCCCTCTAGTGGGGAGCGATTCCCAAACACCCCAGGGAAGAACCTTGAAATGCAAGGGCAGTACTTACAAAGCACCTAGGGCAGTTCACCATAGGCACATGCAGCTCTGTGTACAAGAAGACACCTGGCTATCACCCAAACATACAGCTGGTACAGCCACACAGAGCAAAATCAAGAACAGGAACTTGAGGCCAGAGGTGACCGAGAGACCACCAGCACACTGTTCGAGTACTTGAGTGGTGGACTGCTAGCTCTGCCCCCCCCCCCATAGGCCCTATAGGAAAAGGGGAGGGGGAGCAAACATGCGGAAGTGCTAGTTGCACGAAGGGTTGCTTGTTTCTTTTAATTTTTAGGGGGAATTATTTTCATCTTTTCAGATGTAGATTGCACAAGAAGATTGGGAGAAGAGACCTTGATATAAGATTAACATGTACTGTATGTATAAACTAGCTGCCTGTCCCTGAATATGAATTATTATTATTATTATTTGATGAACTGCAGTGATGACAAATTTGAAAAGTCATAAATACTATGTATTGTCAGTTTAATATCACAGGGATACAGACTACCACACCCAATTGAGGCAATGAAGCATCGAGTGCTGATGGTCAGCAGTGCTCCTCTTAAGAGATGCATTGCAATGTATTCCAAGCTACCAATGACTCCTGGGCATTTATGAAAGTAGGATTCTGAATGGCCTGGTGACAATCTGACAAAGTCCCAACCCATCCTAGCCACATTGGTGAATGACTAAAAGTAACTTGTTAAATATAAACCAGAAAATTCCAATGAGAAAACGTCAGACAAAAGAATGTCTCCTAGGTCATAACAGCCTAACCAATGCAATTCTAGAACTAGCAGCAAGCTAACTAAAACTTAATCTTCAACCAAATCTGTCCTGGACAGAATAAACCATGCAGGGAGAGTTAAGGTATCCAAAAAGAAGCTTGGGTGTAGCTATGAAGCTATGTAAAAACTTGACCTTCCCAAGGACCAAGCAAAGAAAGATTAGTGACCAGTACTGTCTACAAAAGGCAATTGCATATTTATAAATAAATGGCTTGCATCAAGGTCTAAACTAGTGGTTTTCAACCTGGGTTATGTAGTATCCCCAGGTTGAAAATTTTTGGTCTAAACAGTGAATTAAAGAAGACAAATGAGATTTTAAGGATTAAAGGAAAACTCTAGAAATTAAAATCCTCGATGTGAGAAAAGCTGCTGAAAGTTTGGTCAAATCTAGATGATCCTTCATATGATTTGCTAGGCAAGAACACGAAAAAGAAAATTTAGCAAGATGGAGATTACAAATGGTAATGGATAGTAACAAGGGAAAATTAAAATTGCCATCCTAGCTCGCATATTAAATGTTATATTCTTAACGCCTGGTGGTTCCCAAGACACAAGCCACTGAACATGGAGGGTGGCCAATACGAGTCTACACCCACGTGTGTCAAAGTGCCGAGAAAGTGAAACTTAAAAAATACTTCACACCATTTTACCATACACAGTACAGTAATCATGCATGCACTACTGCTCAGAATTTCCCTAGACACGTGCCAATAAACACGTAGATAGCAATGCTAGTGCTCATCCACTAACCATGCCCGTGTTCTGTCACATGGACTTCAGATCTGTGAGTGCCAGGCTTTTATAGGAATGTTGCCTAATAATATTGAAAGGAAGGTATTATATATTGTACTTATTTATTCAGACTAAGAAGTCTGGAAAAGTTTCCTTACACCTGATGCTTTCGTTTACCTTGCGGTTAATAATAATTTATTTTGTTGGGGTTAGGAAGCCTGTGTAATTACCCAAGTGTAGTTACAGGATAAGAGCTAAGCTGGTGTCCCCCCATCTTCCCAGTACTCTGTCAATGCTTTGAAACTACTGATGGTTTTGACTTCTACTTTCTCACTTAACTTGTTCCAACCATCTACCACTCTTGGAAAAAAAAAACTTTTCTAATATTTTTTCAGCCCCTTTGTTTCCTTACCTTGAATCTATGACCTCTTGATTTTGAGGTTGCCAGTTTCAGGAGTTCCTGTCAATTTGGTAAATTCCCATTATTATTTTGCAAGCGGTGATCATATCACCTCTTTCTTATCGCCTATTTTATAGCTTTGGCATATTTAACACCTCTAGCCTCTTCATACCTTGTTTTTCAGGTCTAAAAGCCATTTTGTTGCATGCCTTCGCTCCATTTCCAGTTTACTGATGTGCTTCTTGAGATATGGCACCATACAACTGTTGCATATTCCCATTTTGGTCTTGCAAAAGTCATGAACAGTTTCTTTAGTATTTCACCATCCACGTAATTAAAAGCTATTCTGAAGTTAGAAAGCACAGCATATACTCCTCGCACAATGCTCTTTACATGTTCCTCTGGTGATGTTCTACTATCCAGAACCATCCCTATAGTGTTTTTTTTATATTGTGTATATGCACGAGTTCTTACATTCTTGTTAAGCCACAAGCATGCATAGCATTTTGGGCAAGCTCTTTATCCTAATTTGTCCCCAGAATACAACCTGCCAAATCGTTTAACAACCCAGTACCCATTCACTGCTGGGTGAACAGAGGATACAGTTATGGATTGGCACCTGGTTAATCCTCCCCGGCCAGGATGAGCCCAGGCCAAAGCACCCACGAGGCGTTGGACGAGTGCTTTACCACTACGTCATGGGGACTGCTAAAGAGCCCATGGGAGTTCTTGTTAGTTCTTTAATTTCTTTCCACAGTTGTGTTTGGTCTATTTTCACCTATTCCACATTCCATAACATGGCATTTATTTACATTAAATTCCATTTGTCACTTAGACACTCCAAGCACTTACTTTATCTAGATCAATTTGAAGGGCATTACAAGTCTGCACCTCCTATCACACTGCACTGCATTCCCCAGTATCATAGCATCCTCCACAAACACGTTCATATAAATCTGTATTCCTTCTGATAGATCGCTTATGTAAACGACGAACATTACTGGTTCAAGAACTAAACCCTGTGGTACTCTGCTAGTAACACTCCTCCAGACAGATACATTGTTGCTGATTACTGCCCTCATCTGTCTGTTGGAAAATGTTTCATGTTAGAAGTCTCCTGTCACCCCCTTCCCCTCCAGCATGTTCAGGTTTCCAGAACAGTCTCTTGTGTGGGACTCTGCCAAAAGCCTTTTTAGTTCCAGATAGACAGTCAACCCAATCATCTTTTTCCTGTAGTATCTCTGTTACTCTATTATAGACACTAAGTAGATTTGTTACACAGGATCTTCCTGTTTGAAAACCAAACTGATTGTCCATTATTATGTCATTACTCTATGTGTTCTACCCATTTGGTTTAAACTTTTTCTAGTTTTTTTACCACCCTGTGCCACGCTTGTTAATGTGTAACGTGCAGCATTTTTATCACTTTCCTGTACGCAATATCGAAGACTGTATTTATGCCAACACACAACTTTGAATAACCACTATGTGAACAATTTTATACATCACAAATTTACAAGAGCATAACTTTCCAAGACCAGGTACAGGACTGTACTTGTACCAAAATCAGCACAGAGACCACACATTGCATGGCCTAGTTTAATCCTTTCATTGTACTTTCTTGGGTCAACTGATAATTTTTTTTGTTTTGTTTTATCTATAGTAAGAAAATTATATTTTCAAGTTGTATTAATGAAAAAATAAGAGAAAATCAAAAGTCCAATTTTTTATAAAAATATGGACCAAATACCTCATATCATATATAATTGATTAATTATTATATATAATGATTACATTATATATATACTTGATTATATAATGATCATTATATACATTTTGTAGGCGCTGAGCTAGCAGTATGTCACAATCTGCCAGCATACCTCAACCATACCACACAAAAAGGTTTAAACATCAGAAAACGAGCTTTATTAAGCTGCCTGTGGAGGACCTGACCTTATCCCGCCCTCAGAGTAAGCTTTTAGCTCATATACCCCGCCTTCAGCAGTCCCAGTCCCGCTCCAGTAGGATTCCCTGCTTGATGGGGTTCTGGGAGTTCTTCTACTCCCCAAGCCTCGTACCAGGCTTGACTTGTGACACCAGGCTGTTGCTTGGAGTGGCCCACAGGCCCACATACCCATCACAGCCCGGTTGGTTCGGCACTCTTTGAAGAACACAATCTAGTTCTCTCGAAGATGTCCACGGTTGTTCCGGCAATATTTCTGATGCTCGCTGGTAGGACGTTGAACAACCGCGGACCTCTGATGTTTATAGACCCCCCCAGTCCCGTTCCCCTGGGACCCCCCCACAGTCCCGCTCCAATGGGACCCCCCCCAAAGTACCGCTCCCGTGGTACCCCCACAGTACCGCTCCCGTGGGACCCCCCATAGTACCGCCCCCGTGGGACCCCCCCACAGTACCGCCCCCGTGGGACCCCCCCACAGTACTGCTCCTGAGGGACCCCCACAGTACCACTCCTATGGTACCCCCACAGTACCGCTCCTGTGGGACCCCCACAGTACCGCTCCTGTGGGACCCCCACAGTACCGCTCCTGTGGGACCCCCACAGTACCGCTCCTGTGGGACCCCCACAGTACCGCTCCTATGGTACCCCAACAGTACCACTCCCGTGGGACCCCCACAGTACCACTCCCGTGGGACCCCAACAGTACCGCTCCTGAGGGACCCCAACAGTACCACTCTTGCGGGACCCCCACAGTACCGCTCCTATGGTACCCCAACAGTACCACTCCCGTGGGACCCCCACAGTACCGCTCCTACGGTACCGCTCCTGTGGGACCCCCACAGTGCCACTCCCGTGGGACCCCAACAGTACCACTTGCGGGACCCCCACAGTACCGCTCCTGAGGGACCACCACAGTACCGCTCCTGAGGGACCCCCACAGTACCGCTCCTATGGGACCCCACCAAGAGTCCCCACACATGACAGGAGCACTTGGTCAGCACTTACAAGCACTACGGTCTGCCAGGAGAACACGAGAGAGGAAGACACACTTACCTGCCCACTCGCCAGTCTTCTTGAGGTTGAGGTTAAGACGGAGAGCAGCTCCCAAGAAGGACCCGTATATCCCCTTCAGCAGCGACCACCCTATCCGCGCCACAAACAACACCACGGCCAGCTTTCCTACCAGCTCCCACATCTTCACGCGTCTGGAGAACTAATCAACGAATCTTTAGACCTGCAGACGTCCAAGCATCTCTTCTTGACGAGGTGAAAGCGTGCTGTCAGACGACTTTCTCCGTCTGAGGTCGAGGAAGCCACCTGCCGGACGCTGGCTGGGTCCGGCCGGACTCTCCCACCTTGCATGCAGGACCAGTAGTGGAGCACCAGCACTATTTATCACACTCTATACCTTCATGTATGTATAATATATCTAGTATATAATATCGGATTGCAAATAAAATGTATATAAATACCCTAGGTAAACTTTTATATTATTATCTTCATCAAACAGGAATGTTATAGATTTTCCATATTCAATTCACATGCTGTCATATACCTGCAAAAAGAGGCGGTAAACTTTAACAAAAAACCGAAGAAAAAAACGTATAAAAACTAGTTTTGTCAGAAATAATATTAAGCAATATTGCAGCTAAACTGCAAGGTAACCATGATGCACCTTGACATGTTTTGTTAATGTTATATATACAATAAGTGTTGCTGTGCATTTCTTTTTTTAATATATACAAGAGTTCTTACATTCTTGTAAAGCCAGTGGCACGCGTAGCGTTTCGGGCAGGTCCTTAATCTTAATTTTTCCCCGGAATACGACCCGCCAAATAATTTAACAACTAGGTTCCCATTCACTGCTGGGTGAACAGAGGCTATAGTTAAGGATTGGCGCCCAGTCAATCCTCCCCGGCCAGGATACTGTATCCTGGCCTGGCCTGCATACTGTATACAAATGTATTGATTCACTCATTCATTGGTTACAGAGGCACATATTTCAGGAATTGACCCCATCGTTCATTTAACTAAGCAAGTGACAATTTTTTGAAGCTAGTTGCACAATTGTTAATTAAAACACACACTCGATTCTGCGGGCACAATTAGTAAATACACACACACACACACACACACACACACACACACACACACACACACACACACACACACACACACACACACACACACACACACACATGTTTTTTTTTGTTTTTTGTTTTTTTATTATTATTATTATTATTATTATTATTATTATTATTATTATTATTATTATTTTCTACCACAGACGTGGCCACACATTTACAATGCTAACCAGCATATATACATTTTCTTCTGTCCTCCATGGACAGGGTTAGAGAAATGTTAAACATATAGTTCAAGGGTTTATTGAACACTCAACCACAGAAGGTGATTCGGTGCTTTTAAAGTGCTAAGCTAACCTACATACGTAAATACATAGATACACTGATTTACGTATGCCCTACATAAAGTGTTCGATGTGTCTTTTACATAGTGTCATTAATGTACATTCACAAAGGTGAAATGTAATTCTGATCAGCTTTCATATATACTTTAAACCCATACATATACATACACACACACATATACATACATATATACACACACGTGCATTCACATACATCTGTCTCATTTACTCTGACAGGGTGAGATAGCTGATAAAGAAACTAGTGTGCAATTAAACACTTAATCACTGAAGGTGCTTTCACAAGCTCAGGTTATATAGTTACATCATATATATACATTGTATAAATGATATATTACATGGTCAATCTTGGGTACAAGTCCAATATATCATCAAGTGTTCCAGTACTCATATAGTAATTACAGAGTTCAGCATACCTCAGCCCAGGAGAGCGAAAGTCAGTCAGTATGGGACATTCTACAATATAATGTTCAAGAGAGTGCATGTTTTCTCTTTCACAAAGTTGACACATTGTGTACTCGACATTTGGGTTTTGAGAAAGCTGCCAGATACGTCTATATCCCAGGCGTATTCTGGCCACTATAACATCACATTGCCGGGTTCTTGTTCTATTAGTCCCATATGTGAATGCCTCCTCACGATATCTATCATAATATTTAATGCTACAACTTTCAGGTCTTTGTGAATTTGTTAGGTCGGTGAGATTTTCATTAGATATTTGTTTAAGTATTCTCTTTGTCACTGCTAATGAAACACCCATATCAATTTCTACCACTGGTTTTCTGCAGGCTGTCTTTGCAAGCATATCAACAGTGTCATGCCTTGAGATGCCAACATGTGATGGTATCCATAGGAATTTAATCTCAAATCTGTTTTCTTTAGCAGCGAAAACATTCATTCGAATATCACTGACTATTTTCTGGGTGTCACTACTATGTGCATTCAGTGCCAGGAGTGCACTCTGCGAGTCACAGTATATAAGTCCACTGCCTTTGTCTTTTAAAAATTCAGTGGCAAGGTATATGCCTGCAAGTTCGGTTTGAGTTGTACTTGCCCAGTCATTGACGCGCTTCATTGCTGTATGTACGAAAGAAGATTGTTCAAATATGTTACATGCACATCCGGTATATCGTCCACCTTCTTCTACAGAGCCGTCGGTATAGCACTGATAAACATCGTTACCCATACTCTGAGTACTTTCAGTGATGCTTTTCAGTGTTAACTGTTTTAATAATGTAGTGTGCACACTATCTTTCTTGGGCGCATTTACAAAATCAACTGATAGATCCCAGTTATCCTATGGAGTAATTGGCTGATTAATCATTAGTCGAGTTGGGTACATATTTAATATTTTGATGGAGTTGGCTACCTTGTAGAACCAATATACATAATCAGATTTCGTTCTTCTTCTATAGACCTCAGGTGAGTGCAGCATATTAGAAAGTTTAGCTTGAAACTTCATGTGTTGTCTAGATCTACTCAATGCCTTCACGCCGAAAACTGTGCTAATAGACAAAATTCTCTCACTTATGGAAGGTAATTTTAACTCTGCTCTCATATTAACTATTCTCGTGGACTTTGGAGCCCCAAGGATGAGACGCATAGCTTCATTTTGCAAGGTTTCAAGAGATTTCAGCTCTTTGTCAGTATACAGTGTGAGATGTAGAGCATTGTAGTCAATCACAGAGCGTATAAATGATACATAAAACATTTTAGCAAGTCTCACGTTAAGTCCATGATTGACACCAACAAGGACCCGCAAGGGCTTTAATCTCTCCCAAAGTCTCCTCTTGAGAGAAGAAACGTACCCAGGGTCGTTAATGGGGACACCAAGGTATCTGTAAGACTCGCAGTTCTCAAGTGCTCGCCTATCTATATGAAAATTGGCTGGTGGAATACCACATGGAATGAGGGCACGAGTTTTCTGTACAGAGATAAGGAGGCCACATTCCTCAGCTCTAGTAGCAAAAGCGTCGAGCAGAACTTGCATTCTAGGCTCGGTGGCAGCCTGTAAACATATACAATACAATACAATACAATACAATTATATTTAGGTAAGGTACATACATACAATAAATTTTTACAAGGATTGGTAGACTTATAGGTAGAGCTAGTACATACAATGCCTAAAGCCACTATTACGCAAAGCGTTTCGGGCATGATAAACTTAAATGACAAGCTTAATACTAATTGAGCATAATGAGTAGAATGAAAACAAGAAATGAAAACATAGATGAAAAAGCAGCACAAATACAATTATGTCGACAAACAGCGCTCTTTAAAGAAAAAAAACAGACATTGGTTGACAATAGAGGGGTAAGGTAGGTTACAGGGAATTTATTAGGTATAGCTTCGCTTTTAACTTAAACTGGTTGAGAGAGGTACAGTCTTTAACATGGTTGGGAAGGTCATTCCACATTCTGGGCCCCTTGATTTGTAGAGCATTTCTAGTTTGATTAAGTCGTACTCTAGGAATATCAAAACTGTATTTATTTCTGGTGTGATGCTCATGGGTTCTGATACAACCTTCTATGAAGCTTTTGAGATCAGGATTGGCATTATAGTTTAGCGTTTTATATATGTATAATACACATGAGAGAATGTGCAGTGACTTAATGTCTAACATATTCAGAGATTTAAGTAGGGGTACCGAGTGATGTCTGGGGCCAGAATTGGATATTGTCCTAATAGCAGCTTTGTGTTGAGTAATTAGAGGACGTAAGTGATTTTGGGTAGTAGAGCCCCAAGCACAAATACCATAGTTGAGATATGGATAGATAAGGGAGTAATAGAGAGTCACCAGGGCAGGGCGTGGTACATAATATCTGATCTTAGAAAGAATGCCAACAGTTTTTGAAACTTTTTTTGATATATTTAGAATGTGTCCCTGGAAATTCAGCTTGTGGTCAATGAGAATGCCAAGGAATTTGCCATCTAATTTGTTACAAATTTGGGTATTGTTTATTTTGAGATTTATTTGATTAGAGGATTTATTGCCAAACAGAATATAGAAGGATATATATCATCAGCATAACAAATGACAGTGTCTTCATTATTAATTGGAAGATCTTTAACAAGTTTATGCATCAGAACGTTGAACAACAAGGGACTGAGGACCCCTCCTTGTGGAGTTCCCAGTTCAAAGTGCTTTTAACACCTTTGAACACTTTTAACACCTCAAAGTGCTTTTAACACCAGTCTCTCTGTGCTTTTAACACCATTAAACAAAACATACAGTATGCTGTTCGATTAGACAAATAGCCTTGGGGGCTGTTACACGCGCTTGGGGGTTGAAGTCCTAATTAAGGGTCCGGGTTAGATTCCCGGCCAAGGCAGAAACAAATGGGCATAGTTTCTTTCACCCTGATGCACATGTTCACCTAACAGTAAATAGGTAACTGGGAGTTAGACAGCTGCTGCGGGGTGCTTCCTGGGTGTAATTACCTAAGTGTAGTTACAGGATAAGAGCTACGCTCGTGGTGTCCCATCTTCCCAGCACTCTTTGTCATATATCGCTTTGAAGCTACTGACGGTCTTGGCCTCCACCACCTTCTCACCTAACTTGTTCCAACCGTCTACCACTCTGTTTGCGAAAGTGAATTTTCTTATATTTCTTCGGCATCTGTGTTTAGCTAGTTTAAATCTATGACCTCTTGTTCTTGAAGTTCCAGGTCTCAGGAAATCTTCCCTATCGATTTTATCAATTCCTGTTACTATTTTGTATGTAGTGATCATATCACCTCTTTTTCTTCAGTCTTCTAGTTTTAGCATATTTAATGCCTCTAACCTCTCCTCGTAGCTCTTGCCCTTCAGTTCTGGGAGCCACTTAGTAGCATGTCTTTGCACCTTTTCCAGTTTGTTGATGTGCTTCTTAAGATATTGGCACCACACAACTGCTGCATATTCTAGCTTTGGCCTAACAAAAGT